ATAACGTTTGTAGTTACTATGAGTTCTCGAATAAGTTTGTAAGTGACAATTTGAAGTGAAGTTTTGTGGTTTAAAGTAATTTAATGAGAAACATCAAACTAAACTTTAACACTGTGAAGTTGGTTATAGCAGACGAGAAACCGTAGTAATTTAATGTCATTAAAGATCTAATGAAAAATGTTTTAATCAACTTGAATTCTGTACTTTTTTTAAGTCACATCATTAATGTTTGTAATATTTTGTGTGCTACGTGTTTTTTTTTTTTTAAAATATGCGGCAAACGAGCAGACGTGATAGTAAGCGATCAGCACCGCCCATAGATACCCTCAACACCAGAGGAGTCATGTATGTATGTCATGTTATTGTGTGTTGTTATCTGTCTCTTGTCGTGAACTCTTTATTTAGGTTTGTTTTTGGATGCACATACATTGGCCATTATTCAATTAAATAAGGTAAACATAGAGGGATTATATTGTTAAATAAAAACAAATATTATTTTTTGTCGTAACAATTTTATTCGATCACTGATTTTGATTTTGACCACTTTACATACAACTAGAATAGAATAATGTACGGTTACAAGTTATTTTGTTTAATTATCTATTAATCTTGATAATTTCGTTACCACCCACTAGTTAGATACGATATACACTGAACTTATATACTGACAAACATGATACACTGACATACTGACAAAACGAACTCAGCACATACAGGCTGTTGTTATTTCCCACGCCTTAGTATAAAAACTGAGTTGTTTTTTAAATAGAAGTTTAAAAGACTATGTCTTCAAATTTTAAATGGTTCTAAAAAGTGCACCATATTTGTCAATATATATATTATCTAAACGAGCAACCAGATATATTACATAGCTATTCAATAAGCCATAACATATTAATTTTTAAACAACAAAATTATATCACGAATTTTAAAATAACAATTAGTTTTTAAACTACATATTTTACATTTTCAAAGTGTTCAACTATATTTTCTAATGTCTAAAGTCTAAGACTAGAATGTTTGCATGAGTATGTATAATGGCGATACAGCTACTTTAACAATTAAGTGATAATTTAGGATGGTTATAATAATATTCTAAATTTATAATTATGCTAAGCTTCGATCAATAAATGAATATTATATCAAGAATTACATACATACAAATATATATCAATATATTGAAAAGATAAATGAAATACGTTTTATTCAATATCATTATTTTATAGAAATAAAAATATTTTATATAAAATACATATATGAATATATAATAATAATAATACCTACAATATTAATTTTATTCTGTATCCTAACAAACAATTATGGTATTTTAATACTCAATATCGATAATTAGATTAAGATTAATTAAATTGTAATTAAATACACATTTAAATGTACGCTACAAATGCTAATTTTTAATTATACTTTAAAAACCAAATTCTATTTAATAATAAAATTTAAAATTTGTAATACATGATTTACGTACGATATTCCAAAATATCGAATTTGAACAAGCTAAGCAAATTTCTAGTATTTAACAATATCTAAACTAAACTAAAGTGACGAAGAAATTATAAATTTGAGGTATTCAAGTATAATATCATTGTGATAAACTTATCCTAAAAAGCGTCTATAAGTACTTATTCAATAATTATAATAATTTTTATAATTACTCTATACTTATAATTATAAGCTGTCTGATAAAACAGCTGATATATATATAATGAGATTATAATTTAATATGACTAGGTATTGGAATGACTTAATTAATATAGAATGTAGCGCTTTCTATTTGAAGTGAAGATAGATAGAGTATGTCTTTTGACATTTTTGTAAGACAGTTATCTTTTTGGTACAACTTATAAAAAATGCTGTGAAATATTATTAAAGTTAAGAAATAATCAATTATTAATTAACGTAGAGTTGGAAAATATACTTTTTTTATAGTAATTATATGGCATTAAAAAGAAACAAGTACGAATTGAGACGTATATAATGTGTGTAATTAAGAATTATGAGAAGGTATGTATATGATTTATATAATACCTTACATAGTTTATATTATTCTATATGTTACTGTACTTATCACTCGTACTTGTGTGGGTGTTCAACTGATATATTTACATTTTAAACGTTAATTACCATTGTTATATTAAATAATTCTAAAAACATCGACTACTCTATGATGCTCAAAAAATTTGATGCAAAAAATATCTACTAGGAATGTTTAAATTATGAAAAATAGCAGCATCTACTTGAAAGACAAGATTAAATAAAAATATATAGGTATAACTGTTACATATGGAAATATATGAAGATTAAGTTATAGTGAGTAGGATAATTATTAAGATCTAGTTAGATGATGAAACGAGCTCCTAATAGTACTTTATAGATAGAGTAGAACTAACGGACGGGTACTGACCTAAACTGAAAGAAACTGCAAACATTACTTATATATTTCATTATATATATTTAATTCATAAGTATTTAGATATATATATATATACGATATATATGCAGTAATATTTTCGTTGAAATTATTTTTAAATATATATTCTTTTGTTTAAATGTTTGTATGGCTTCATTTTCAGGTAATTCAGATCAACAGATATTCTAATATACGATCAATATTTTAGTAGATATATTATAAATGTCGGTTTCAAGGTTTTCTGTATAATTATATATTGTTACATATATATGAATACTATACATAATATATAACTGTAATATAATTTATAACCGAAATATAATGTTTGCAGTTACATTTCGTATGAAACATCGAGATAAGAATAAGATTCACAACGTCTACGTCTACAGTTATTAAACGAACAAACAGATAGTATTCACAAGCTGAAGCTAAAATATTTATATAATAACATTGTGCGTAGTGTTAGCAACGATATCATTTTAGGTAATCCAATGAGGAATATCAAAATCTTTGTTCCTATAAATTAGTATGATTTATGTTGCTTGCATTTATTGTAAGTAAATACGAATATAATCTAATTTGAAAACTAAATTTTATAATAATTAAGTATATTTATAATATCATAAAGTTTTATTGAAAAGTAAAGAATTTCAGTTTTTTATAAGGGTAAAATTGATTATATAATATAATTATATTTCACGATACGATATTCCCCAATGGCTTAATATCAAAGAGATAAAAGATGGCACAAGATATAACTTGGAACTTAAGCGAACTACTTTACCTAACACTACAGGATACCTAGATTTATATATTTTTTTTAAAACTACATTTGAAAGCGTTTGAAGATATCAAGCTAAAATATATCGAGTGTCATGATATAGAAGAGTAGTAGCTATTGTATAATTGATATTAAAAAAATATTAATAGTTATATAAAAACTAAATGAAACTGAGAAACCACTCGAAACCTAATTTAAATTAATACAGAAATTACACAAAAATATAGAACATTTGGAAATAACTTCAAGACATATAACATTAATTTTAAAGAACTACAATATATGTATAATATTTTAAATACTATCTGAATGGAATATAAAAAACAAAATTCTAAAATGTGCTCGTATAAATCACGAAAGATAATATTATAATTGGTGTATACAATACTAATATAATTAAAATGACAATCTTATCATCAAAAAATATACGCATAAGTATAAAATTGTAAGATTGTATATCTTAAACCTAGTGATATGTCTGCGATACTGGCGTTTATTGCTGATATAATAGTACACAAATAGTACACAATTATATGTATATAATTCCCACAATACACAACTTAATACACTGCTAACTATAATTCGCTTGTGGGTTCTGATCGAGGGTCTGAGAACTGGTAGGTATATAATTTTATTAATTAGTATTATCTTCGATATTAATCTTGAAATTATTTAAGACTCGCTTCAAAGATGTCAATATATATATATATAGTTGACCAATCCTGTGTATTTTTTTAATCGGTTAAATACACCTTTGTATAGTATTCATTTGGATCTTGAAAAGCGTAACGATATATTATGTTTTGTTATAATAGAACTGGATGTAAGATTGTATACCGATCAGAACTCACTTAGCAAGTTACGTACTTAAATATACTCGTACAATAAATATTACGTCTTTGTGCTCACAATCTACTAATTAATTGAATTTCGGGAGAATTTGACACGAAAATTGACTCTAAACTTACGAATACGTGTACGAGAGAGGTCCTTTGATCCTCCGTAACAAGCTTGGTATTACCATAAATACACATTCACTCTGAATTCATTAACCAGCCCCAGTACATGTTGAAGTTGTTTGAGTACAAATTACTGCAACATGTACCACCCAAACGACTATTACAATAGTTCCTCTCTCTCTACCTAATAGTTTGAATGTATGAAAATGTTTGTGCGAAACAATTAAGTAGTGTGCTCCTGACAACTGCTACGGTCTCTATTGTACTCTGCAGGCTGGGTACTAAACCACAAATCATTTAAAGTACCATTTTTCAACTCAAAAACTATACCGGATTGGTTTCCATGGGAACGGCAACTGATTAACCTTAGCAACGTTTACGACAGTAATAATTTTAACGAATAGTTTTATTCACAATAATCACTTTTTTTAACTTTATACACTCTCAATTGACATATCGGGCGCGTCACGTTTTCTTGTACAATTATTTTAGTTATCTTTTAATTTTGACTCTTGTTGCTCAGTCGTCTGCGAAATGTTATTCGTGTCGGTCGGTCGGGAGGAGCCCACGAGACTTTTTACATTTATTCCATTTTATTAACAACCCTTTCCTTTTTGAACCCTTTTCCAACTCTTTTTGATATTTTATAATACTATGCCTCCAATACATAATGTTTTATTCAATACACGTCGTTAATACATGTTAACTAACTTTTCAATCACCATTGTTATTTTCTTTTTAGGCATGTCTGTTCTCTAGTCTTTATTTATGATACATTTGATTGTTTTTTATTAGTCTTTAATTCATCAGCGACATACCTAATCTTTTTTATTTAAAGTTCTATAATTTTTGACATGCGATATTTAATCATGCCCCCTCGTCTACCGAGTTCCCTGTTCGCTCCCCCCGGCCTGTCGACAGCGCCATGCTGTGTGCTGATGGTACGAACCTACCTCAGTAAAGTCAACGACAGAAACACATACTAACTACTGTACACTTACACAAAATATACCTCGTAAATTATATATATAATGTTATAATTAATGTATAAGTCTATATAAGCTTACTTAATCTACGTGAATCAAAAGATTCTGATATGTTTCGTTACCTTGGTTGCAACTTATCACGTTGACTAACTCTATATTATGTCTAATTGATATTATAATTGATATTTATCGAATTAATTGATATCGAAGCGAGATATGATGATACTTAGCTTAGTATTGCTGGGTTAGCATACGACATACATTTATAATTTCTAAAAATATATTTAAGATACATCGCATTTTGAGATTTAATTGATTTACGATAAGTACTATTTTGATATGTTTATGATTATGTACAGGTATCGTAACGTTCACGCGACAGTTACGATAGGTAGGCGTACTCTACAGGGTGTTGTCTGAATATCATTAATATTTCAGTTCTGGCAACACACTGTATGGTCGCCAGTAAGTGCCGAGAGTTACAAATAAATATTTAGGCCCTTACGTGATGAGTGCGTGTATCATACTTGTGCTGAACTTTTAAAATATCTACCTTAAACTATAGCTATCGACTACTTAGCGATATAACAGTGGGAAAAACTTTAATAGTTAGAATTTGAATTCTTCATTAAATATGGTTCTTTTCCCGAGTTTAGTACATCTATATTTATAGAAACACGCCAAAAACGGAGGATCTTTACCTGAGTACTGATTTCATATACATTTTTGATCCTTATTATCTTTATAATAGGGTTGTATATCCACCAACTTGGTTAAATGTAGCGTACTTGTGTTGTCCTCCGCATTTGCTGTACCTCCACACTTGAATATCTTCTTATACACATGTTATATAATTGTTATAGTTTATATAATTCTCACGTCAGATATAATTCTATATACTATTAAAAGGCATAACAGTTGTTTATATCAGAATATTAATCAACAAGAAAACAACGGGTTTAGCAACAGTACTTTTAGTTTCCCATCATAAGTTTACCATTCTCCTTTGATTGTTTCCACGCTCCTTTGACCATACATATTTATCTACACGCGTATTAAGTAACTCATTATTTTTCTGTATAAATTTTGAGATTTCTTTGTATAACGCATCCTTACAAAAAATTCATTCTTCTCTTTAAGATATTAACTATTCTTCATTTAATCTGTAAAAGTAGTGTTGCCAATGGACCCGGAATATAGTCTACATTACAAGCACAGCTAGTATAGACATCTATCAGACATATAATAACGCGCCGATACAATACGGCTCAGTGATCGAAGTACTATTGTCAAGTGTCCGCTACACCGCCCTGCGATGTTACCATACAAGCTATTGTATCGTTTTGTCTTTTAACTTGTAAATTAATAGAAGTTTGTATTTTAACTTGTAAATAGTTCGACTACTAACATCACAAGAAAATGTATCGGACAGCTGACGTCTACCCAAATAGGACATTTATAATTACACAACAAGTAAATTCAAAAATATCGACAACAACACTGATTTTGGAGTGAATTTAGAAGCCTTGCCTGAAGGGGTTTTTGATAGTGGGCTGCGCCGCGGGCGCTGGTGCGGGCGCGGGCGCGGCCGCCGCGGTACCCGCGCGGAACGGGTTGCTGGCGGGAGCCTGCGGCTGCGCGGGTAGCTGCCGCTGTTGACTGTACTGCTCCTGGTACTCCTGCTGGTAGCCCTGTTGTGGCTGCTGCTGCTGCTGCTGCTCATACCCCTGGCTGTAGTTCTGATACCCTCCTTGATACGACTGGTCATAGCTGTACCCAGCGCCCGAATCTACGTTCGATTCCTCAGTCCCAGCCACTTGCCCTGACACGTTGGAGTACTCCAGATGGTTCTTATACTCCCCATTTACGGGTCGCTGGTCTTGCAAGCTGTAGGTCTGATACTCCTTGTCTGGCGGGTCAGCCATGAGGATGTTGGCCTCATTCTCAAACGGCTTGAAGTCGTAGATGTGCCGGAGGTACATGAGCACTGGAGCGTACAAGAGGTTGCTGAATGCGATGAACAGGTTCAAAGCGGTGAAGCCTATGGCTTCCACCACTTCTCCAGCAATGATGGGTCCTACAGCGTACGCGAAAGAATACGATATATCGGCGATGGCGTAGATGCTCCCGTACACAGATGAATATCGCACGTCGACTAAGTAACCGAGAGTAGGCAGTAACGCCGTGTCAATGAGGGCAATACCGAAGCAAATGCCACAGATAGGTATCATCAACATTTTGTACGAATTTGCGAACGGTATTATAAAGCAACACAAGCCTTCCAATGCGAGACCACCGGCTGCCATCAGCCATTGCTGCTGAGGATACTTCTTTGCCATTTTGACAGTAATGATCACACCGAGTACGTGGGGGAAGAACGCTGGTAGCCAAATCATTCCGATCTTCCAATTGTCTTTGGTCAGATTGTCCTCCATCCATAGCGATATAGTTGGCTCAAGGAACGCCAACGCTACGTTAGACATCATCAGAGCGCCTGCGCAGACCGCGATGTAAGGATCCATCAGTAGCTTCCAGATAGGAGTACTCTCGGGTTTGGGCTCTCTAGCTTCTTTGATTTGCGTTTTTAGAGGTTTCATTACCAGGAGCAGCATGAACCCGTCCATCAATGATATCAAAGCTAGGATCAAGAATGGGACCTCTTTTCCTGCGAATTGGTACAAAGCACCTCCGAATGGGGGAGCGACTAGGCAACCAAAGCTGATGAAGGCCAGGGCAATCCCAAGAGCTTTAGATCTCTCATTTTCTTCAGTAAACCTATCGGCTATCATCGCGAGTCCCGATGTATCAGCGAAGGCAGAGCCCACGCCTTGCAAACTCCTCGCAAAGAACAGCATGCTGTAGCTCCGGCCGCAGGCGAAGATCGATGTAGAGAGGAACATAATGATGAGTCCGATCATCATGGGCACGTCGTACCCGATGCGGTCGATTAAGGCACCAGAAAATGGGTTAATCATGAGTTGTACGATAGCCTTTGACGCGAACAGGACGCCTGTCGCTGAGTCCTGGCCCTCATGTGATGCTGGGATGATTTTGGTCGGTGTGATGGTCTTATTGCCTTCCTTGTAGGGCGCTAGAGTGACTACATGGTCATATCCTGCCTCGCCCCAGGCGCCAATGTACCTTAGGTAGTCGGGAATGATGGGTACGATCACCATGTACAACATGTTGTCTAGTAACAGCGCTATGGATACAATGACCAGGATGATCTTCCTCTGCGAGGTCGGCTCCTTGATCTTCTCCCACAGTATCTCCCGCACCTCCCGCACCTCCAGGTTCACCATCGGGATGACCGCGTTGTCGATCTTCTGCCATATCGATTGTGGTCCCTCCGCCATCTTGGATTATTTGTATCACGTTTATATGATTCTATCTGTTGTGGGCTCCTGTGCTCATCTTCAGAGGAGGGCTAGGGTTGCCCTCGTTGTGATATTCGCGTGTCGCTCACACATTTACGCGTCGTCCTTCGGCGGGACCTCGAGAGGGAGTTCGGAACCTGACAACAAACAGAAATGATCATTGTATTATCATTTCATGACAAAGGGGGATGCTGTAATGTTTCAAAAGGATTGTGAGTCGATCTTTGTTTCTGTTAGTTGTCGTTCCTCTGTCCCGAGTGGTCTTATAACGAGGGCTTCGAGTTCCAAAGATGATTCAGAGTCCTTTTGAACACAAACAAATTACTAATAAATTAGTAAAACATCACAAACATTCACACAAATAAATAATTCAGGAACGTTAACGTTTATAAACCGTTCAATCAAAATATTTAAATTATTCGCTTTGTCGTGGTCCATGGTCATTGTTTATTCATGGGTCAATAAATAATGTTCAAACCAAACGTATTTTATTCACAATGGAAATAAATATAGAAATAAAAGTTAGCAATGCATATGTAATAACTTCAATTAAATTGCAAACCAAAAAAGTCTAACTTTTCGGAGTTTAATTATTAGACAAAACAACTAATTAGTCCTTAGTATTTATCCTACAATTCAGTCTCATTACTATTTAACTCTTAATCTTTCATTCTGCAGTATAAGTGATTGACATTTTCCGCCGGCAGTTGGTATACAGACAGTAATTGTAACAACTTGTTTAACCAAAATCCAATTTGTAGGACCCTCGCCGACGCCATTACGACCAGCTTACTACGCGTTCTCATTTTTCCCTCGCAAAAAACCTCGTTCAATCACGAGAGAAATGGTATAAGCTCGGGGAGGCGATTATTTTATGTTTTGTAACGTTTCTCGATAATATGTGATATTTATTTATGACATAGTGACAATAAGTAGAGGGTGGTATTGTTTATAAATGAGTATTATACTAGTTTTTTGTCGTTTACGATACAAGTAAAGTGGTTTGATTTAAAGAAATAATTAAATAAAGGATTAATAAGGAAATAGAAATTAAAAAATAAAGAAATAGGTCGCAAATGCGACTGACAGGCAAGGGGTCTCTTGTTCGATTCCCGGGTCGGGCAAGGTATTACTGGGTTTTAAAAAAAAAATCTCAGTATTAGTACGGAGTCTCGAATTGTGCCCGGTATATGGCAATAGGCTCACCCCCTATTACATGGGACTCATAACATAAATAGTGAAAAGTTGTACAGTGGCATAATGTGCACCTCTGCCTACATCTACGGGAATAAAAGGCGTGATGTTATGTTATCAATCTGTTAGAAACAAATTTATTATATTTGCTCAAAATCCTTTCCAATTTCCGAAAGAAACAATTTAATAACTTAGCAGTTGACTATTACGTGCCAACCAGGATAAATTCAATCCCCAATATTTGGAGGAAGTAATCATCTGAAGCCGTTCAATTCTTCCCTGCCTGCCCTCTTTTGTATACAGCCTCGTTAGAAACGCGAAGGGCGGAAAATCCCTTTCCTAAGAGTTCGCACGAAAAGAGAATTTCAATGAGAAAAAGTAAAAATGCGGAAGGAAAGAAAAAAGAGTGATTAGGTAGCGCCGCTCTGTTGGGAAGTCGATTTGGGAAAGAAAAGGTTTCCAGAGAAGCCACGTCATTGTTATTAGGCTGGGAAGATGTTTCTTTTTTGTCAATGTCAGGATAAAATAGATTTAATGAAGCACAGAACTGTGATGTATTTTTGTGAAATGCGTCAAAATTAGCCAGCTTTCCATGCCATATAATTAGAACGTGTAAAAAATGAATGTCATGCATTTTGACCTCTTTTATCTTTGATTTGTAAAACGTAGCAATGCACTAAGATTTGCTTCATGTCTGCCTATATCTCATGGATATAACAAACATGATGCCATTTTTATTTGTAATTTATAAGTGTAATATAAATATGATGTTATTTTGAGTTACAAGCAACAAAATAATGTAACACAACATAACATCACGCCTTTTATCCCCAAAGGGGTAGGCAGAGGTGCACACAGAAGTAACACCCACTTTTCACTATTCATGTTATGAGTCCCATGTAATAGGGGGTGAACCTATTGCCATATTATTATACCGGGCACATTTCCAGACTCCGTGCTATTACTGAGATTTTTTTTAAATACTTTGCCCGACCCGGGAATCGACCCCAAGACCACTTGCCCGGCAGTCGCACTTGCGACCACTCGGCCCACGAGGCAGTCAAAGAACAACAAAATGAACAAAAATAATGTCTACGTAAAAAATTTCACAAACACGAAATAACTTCATCTTTGAGTTTACTTGGTACCTTTCCATGTATGTACAACATTACGTAGTATATTAAAAAGCAATAAAGGAAAACAAAACATTTGATCGCCGCAGTACCTATTATAATGAAAAGTCGTAATGTTCGGCCAAGGCTGCACGCGGCAGGTCATGGCGAGGTTATGGTAAAACATATAGATCTTAAGGGACTTGGATGGTACAAGTTATACTTAAACGTATCGAGTTGAAATTGTAAAATTTTCTTATGGCGTCGTGTGGAGAAATTCGTTGAGAGATTAGGTTTGGGTCGAGATTCATTAATGAACTTTGTGAAGCCAACAACTTAGTGTTTTGAAAATTATTGATTGGACTTTGACGCTGACTTTCCAAGTGTTTTTCTTCCTTAATGGTCTTAATTGAAATTGTAATGTCTTTTCACTATTTCAAAAATCGAGGTCATCAATTTTATCGACACGATTACTGTTTCAATTAGCGTAATTAGTATCAAAAAGAAATTGTGAATAAAAGTTTCACTCAACCACGACTGGTGAAATTAAAGTTCGCTAGAGTTTATGACTTGCGCCTTAACTTTTAGAATATTTCAGTGTAAGTAATCAAGCGAACTATTGGAGACCGGAAGTGTCGCGTGTAGCCTCCGCCTGCCTCCGTCAGCAGTGGCTTCGTGTTGTAAGCGAAGGCTTAGTGGTCATTATTACAAGTTGTGACGACCGTGAGACTATCGTAGATAGTTCATAATTTTATAAGAAGTACTTTTGCTTTTAAATTTATTTTTAATTTCTGTACATTTAGAAATACCTGCTTCCTCATGATTAGACCTTCTTCTGGTATAATAGTTAATAGTTGAATGCAGAAATTTTGCTTCTAAAGCAACGACGTCACAACAACGTGATTTTCTTTGACCAGGCGTGGTGTCACTCCGGTTCAGCCGGCCCATTCGTGCCGGCTTGGCTTTACTACACTCAACATATACTACCTAATAAATATGCAATTCTTACTTTTAACTATTATTATAATAGAGAGGATTGTAGTTAAATCCTAACTATGAACGCCTAGATTCATAAAATAAAACCATAAATTTATTAAAAGACACTAGAAACTAGAAACCCACTCTAATAGTAACCCCTATTAATACGCCCCGATGTATAAATAAACACAGCATAGAGTTTACATAATCAATTAGCTTACAAGAGGCTGAACTGAACCCCACTCGATGGAAGCACTCTTCATAACGGACAAATGAACAAACCAACTCAAACATGCCTAAAAACATACATCGTCAATAATGAACCTTACTACATTGATATTAAAGCTCATTCCCCATAGAGTCAGTGGAGCTTGAATGGGCCGGGTCGAGCGGAGTGATAAATACCAAACTCACAGAAAACCGGTGTTCAAATTCCAATCCTTAAATTCCTAATCCTCAAAAGAAAGGCAACGCTTATGTAACTCCTCTGATGTTGTGGGTGTCCATGGGCGGCGCAAATTGCTTAAAATCAGATGATCCTTCTGCTCGTTTGCCACTCTATTCCATAATAAACATTCTTAATGAACCTTACTACATTGGCATAAAAGTCATCAATATATGACCGTCTGATCGCAGGTACCAGGCTCGCATATATACAAAGAGATTCATACATGTTTACTTTATAAGAGTGTGTAGGTGTATTCTGGAACACTACGCTAGTCAATCGATAGAGGCTAACAGGGACGGCTATTCATAGAACATCTATTCTTAGCTTGTGAACGGCTAAAATGGAAAACTTATACAATAAAAACGTTAAGTTTCTTCGAAGAAAATTCTAGAGAAACTAAGCTAAAGAAATAAGTGTCTAATCGGATCGTAGGTAGTAGGTGTTGGTTTAAAGTTTCTACCTTACCTCCTTACAATAGAAGCGTGAGTTTATACATATATTTTAAATAACATTTTATTGTGCTATTTAAAATACTGCTACAACATGTCTCCCTATTCAATTTACTTGCAATACAGAAAGAATTGATCGGTTTTCAGATTAGATTCTGAAGTCGATAGATACCTTGTTCTATCCCAAAGCGGCTCAATTTGTTTTAAAACAATTCTGAAGTACAACGATTAGTGAATGTAAATGCAGCGAAAGAAGTCTAAGAGATGGCCTCATTGGCCAACTGGTCGCAAGAGGTCTCGGATCCGATTCCCGGGTCAGGCAAAGTATTACTGGTTTTTTTTTAGAAATTTCAGTAGTAATACGGAGTCTGGAAATGTGCTCGGTATATGGCAATAGGCTCAACTCCCTATTACATGGGACTCATAAATATTGTGAAAAGTGTACATTGTACAGTGGCATTAAGTGCTGTAATCTGCCTAGTTTCTTTTTGCCTACCCCAATACATGGGCGTGATACTATCACTCATGACTGAGTAAGCGTGTAACATACAATGTACATATATTACTACGTTTTTACAAAACAAAAAGCATACACATTTCTTTGTCATAACTTATTCATATCACAGCCGACATCTATCTAAAAATAGCTCGAAATATTCGCAACGTGGAAACTTCTAGTGTTGCTGCGTGTGTTGTATATTGATCGCTGTCGTGCACGAGCACAGTCACTGCTACAGCAGCACACTACTAGCGGGCTGTTGTAGGGCTGTCACGCGAGCACGAACTTGACGCGACGAGTTTCGTGCTCAGGTGACTGTGTTTTTGTGGTTGTATTATTAAGCAATGTTCGAGAGGTAGAGGTCGTGCAGCCCTTGCTCATTAAATAATCTTATATTGTTAAGTATTTATTGTGTAAGTGCGAGTTGGCTTTGTGCTACTGTATTTTTGTCTTGAAG